AATATGTCAAAAAGTTTACTGTCTGTTTAAAATAAGAGAGCTCTACAACTATGATAGGTTTTTCGTAAATCTGAAAACTTTGATTGAGCAATGTAGGTCAATGATATCGAACAACAGTTCTTGAATATTGCTTTATACAACTTGATGAGCTCAATCTAACTATGGCAAAAATATTAAGACAAAGTAACATTCATACTTCATCTTGTCGCTACTCTCTGCGATACGGAGTTCATATAGATAATAAAAATTAGTATTTTAATTGGGTAAGTCTTTGTGCCCAACCTTTTTAATATATTTTTCTTTAATTTTCGAGATTGATTATTTCGATTTATTGAGATTCTATGAGAAACTTCTTCACAATATGAGACTGACATTACAGAATAACTCAATCGAGAACCTGTTATACGCATCAAATCCACTCATAAATCTTCAAATAGTTAATTGATCTCCACTACTAAGGTCCTTTTAAAAGCCTATGTCGAAAGAAGCACCAGAATCTCTTTGTATTTTTACGCTATTTTGAAAAACAAGAAGCAATATGCTTTATACAAAAATTTTTGATGCATGTGATTTGCAGTTTTGAATATCTTGTACTGTCATTGTTGTACATCTTGCCATTGTATAATTACATCCATACCCATGTAAAAAAAATGACATCAGTAATCACAAAAAATCTGATTTTTAATCGATTATAATCATACGATTCTTAATCAATGGTTTACACAGAAATAATCAGAAAAAATCTGTTTTTTTTTTCAATTTGATTATAATCGATTTTTTTAACTCAATTTCAAACCGATTATAATCAAACTGAAAAAAAAAACTGATTTTTTTCTGATTATTTCCGTGTAAATCATTGATTAAGAATCGTATGATTATAATCGATTAAAAATCAGATTTTTTGTGATTATTGAGGTCATTTTTTTTTACATGGGTAGACTATTCGTTTGCTCTTTAAATAACATATCAAAGCAAATGTCAACATCTAATACTTAGAAAGCATTTTAAGAGACAAGTGAATATATATTGATTCACAAAAGCAGTTGGAAAAATTAAATAAGATTCAAACTTTCACTGGACACAAATTACCAAGCACATTATACTTATTCTAATACTCTTTTATTAATTCCATTACGATCAATAATGTGTGTTAATGTATGAAACATCACATGTTCAATCATTATTAGATATTTTTGAATTTTATCTATACGATTGTAGAGATTTAGCTTATTTCCTGACAAATTTATTTGCTGATAGGATTATCTGCAAAGATGTTCTTTTCTTCAATGATTATTTATAATCATCAGTTTCTAAAAGTAAGAAAATCATTTTTCATTTCATATTCTATTTTGTCTGGCGAGCATGATAAGTCAATATCATAAAAAAGGACAACACTCCATGTGTACATATAAACAACTCCACTGATTGTTTTATAAACATTTTCAAACAAAAAAAGGGCGCTTTAAATTGGTGTTAGCGAATGTGATAGCAAAACTTGCGTAAATTGATTTGAGAGTTTTCTCAAAAAAAAACAGAAACATTTACATAGACTGATGGATTTATTTGTACCATTGATATCGATCTAATTATTTCTTTTTTTCAACGCATATATGTTAAATACTAATTTTATCAGTAGTCGAACTATGAACTGTAGCAGAACTCAATCACCATCAAATGAGGTATGTTCAGATTTCCGAAAAAATAATTTTCCGAAAGGGCGTGGATGTGGGTGTAATTCTTCTCTAAATCTATACCCACACCCGCACCCTGATATAGTTATAGTATGATTGATATTGGTTTGAAGATCCCTACCCGTAAGAAGAAGAAGAAATTCTGGTAATTTCAGTAATTATCTGGAAATTTTAGTAATTACAGGAATTTCTAGGTAGTTAGCAAAATTATCAGAATTTCTGCTGCTCCTTGGGGTAGTGATCTTTCAATCTATATCTATCTATGCATATTAATATGCTGTAAATAAAGAAATTATAGGAATTATCGAAATTTCTTGTCTGATGTTAAGGTTTTTTGAAATTTCGCGTAGTTTTCTGTATCGTGTAATAGTAAGTTCAGTAATTTCTCAGAAATTATCGTGTGAGAGCTGATGAATTTCGGAAATTTCCTAGTGTTCACATTTGCATGTGCTAGTATTTTCTGTAATTACCAATACATTTTTCTCTGGAGAGTTGATATTTACGGAAATTATTCGGTATTTTGGTTCTATACTATGAATAATTACCGAAATTCTCAGAAAATTTCTGTATTTTGGTTATGGTTGGTTTAGAATAATATTGCAGCAGTTACGGTAGTTTCCGATATTCTCTGAAACTTACATTTTGTATGGTTGTAATTTCGAAATATGATCATTTAGCAGCGAAATTTTCTTTTTTTGGAAATCTGTCCACTGCTGAACAAATGGTAGTAGATGCATATAAAATATGACAATTCCATTCTATCGACACAATCTTCTACCAACGAAATTTCAGGAAGTAATGAAGTTGTTACTTATTTAACATAGAAACCATTGTAAACTCATGAGAAGAAAAACATTGCATTTTCTGAAGTATCAGCAGTTTTAATTGTTACATACCACTCTCAGAAAGAGCAAAAACATTTTAGTAACTAATAAATTACCATAGTTTTTTCCGGGATGATTTTGCTACATCGTTAGATAAACTAGAAGACCTTCATCTTCAAAAGCATCAGTAGCTTTTTAGTAACAAATAAGCACTCTCATATATTAAAATGAGATTTCAGTAAATAAATAGAATTACTTTTTTTCTAGATAGATATTGCTACCTTTCTAACAAGAAAAAAAGAGGTCTGCACTCGAAAATATTAGCAATCTTGGAAATGGTTTAGCATTTTGGCCTACTTTAAGGAAAGCACAATACTTATTTAACGTATATCTTCATTGAAGTGTAATTTCAAAAAAAAGACTCTAACCTTTTTAATACAGGTAAGCTAGTTCGTTTCTGAGAAATTTTGGTAAATATCAAAGTTATTTCATTTTTTCCAATGACTGTTTCGTATAACTGATTTATATTTGTCTTAGAAAAATAATGAATGGAGATTTGGCAGCTTTTCATCATCTTCACTTCACACGTTAGTGAATGAAAATAGAGAAATATCAGATTCCTTTATTAGGTGTTCGACTAAAGCTAAGCATTCATAAATAGTAACCATGTAAATAAACTGGTTAAGATAGCAAAAATATAGAGTAACTTAGGGATCAACTTTTTTGTACAAAATTCGTTATCCACTGAAAGAAAAAAGGATTTCGTAAAAGCCTCAGACACCTTCAAAATGATTCTCAATACTAAAGGAAACCTTTTGTGTAGGGTTCATAGCAAAGTCAAAACCTCTTGTTGGCTCCGTATGAAATCTTGTCTTTCTTCTTCGAGACTGAAACTCTAAGACATCTGTCCGATAAATGAAACCTCAAAGAGATCTAGGCACTTAGTTGCATTTCCGAATGACAATTACCTTGTCTTCTTTCTTATTTATGATTTGTAATGCAGAATACACTCGAGCAACAAAATAGTGCTTAAGATAATCTTAGAAAAACAAATGTTTCTCTTAGCATACATATCGCTACTGATAATCTCTTTATAACCTCAATTAGCTTGAAACATCGCAGTTTTATAAATGAATTCGATTGCATAGATGTGTTTGTTTTCTCACGAAAATCTATTTCTCAATATAAAATTACGAATCTATTCGGAAAGATTTTTAAATTTAAATCTTTATTGTTATGTTTCAATGTCAATAATGACAAGTAATGAATTCGGCACCATAGAAAATAGAGGCGTACGGGAACGCGGCCACGAAATATGAAATATTGGTCCTGCACATGTTGGTCGTCAATCAGAAAAATAAAGCGTATGAGTATTTACGGATTATTCAAGATTCAAGACCGATAGATCCTACGACAGCTTCTCTAAATCCGAGCGAGTAACAGAAAAAACACAGGGGAATTTTATTTTCTCATTCATTTTATAAAAATCACATCATCCAAATTGTTTTTTCGGATTTAATAAAATATAAATGTAAATTCATCACTTCTATGAAAAATTTAAGTCCCTAAAACCATGACTAAGATTTAAAAAAAGTCGATCTCGCACATCTCTAGTAGCAAAAAAAACTATGCTTATTTCTTAATTATGAAAAATCGCCATCGCCATGTCAAGTCACACGCATAACCATATGTGACGTTAAACAAGAAGAAAGAAATGAAAGAAAAGGTGAAAAACTGCGTATGTAGGTATATATTATATTAATAATCAGGACTAATATTTATTTCTTGTAAAATGATAACCATATTTCTCATTATTTCCCATATCGTTTCAACCAATCGAAAATTGGTGTTTCATCGCTTTTCTTCAGCTAAATTTTTTTTCGTATTTCAGAGCGTTCATATATGTAAATCCTTACAGAATCGTTAGCTTTATAATCAGTGCTCTCTTACTATTGTGGACACGCTGAAGCTGCCAGTATCAGTCACAATATTAATTTCGTTTTCGAGTTCAGCTCTTTATTAAAGATATTACCATAAAAATAATTATTCGAGAGATAGCTTCATCAATAGGAAAGTTGGTGACGTCAGAATTTCCTGTGACAAAATTACGTAGCCATTTTAATATTGCAATTGATCTTTTGAAAGGTTTAAATTACTAATTTATAGACAAAGGAAAAGAAAACGCATCAAAACGTTGATTATCATGAAACATCGATGGAAAGGGTGTCCTCGACATCATATATAAACACTGTTCGCGTGATAATGCTCTTTATTTCACTTCAAAAGATTCTTCATTAAAGCCTTCCACTTTTTATATCAGGACAGCAAATTAATGGTGTGGGGTCGATTGAAGTCTTGGCGAGATGCTTTTCTTCGTCTCAATCTTTTTGAAAAATACTCGAGTGATGCACACAGTGCTCTTCGAGAACTGCACGCAACACGTATCTACATTGTATCACTCATTTGTCTCCTTGTCTGTATCGGAATGGTTTCTGCATTTATTCCTCGAACAGAAAATGTTATTGGATATTCACTTTCATATGTTAAATTCACGCATTTGGTGAAAAAGTATCCAAATACTCTTAAATGTCGATGTTCGAAAATTGGGATTGCGTATGAAACCTTTGTGAAAGTTCATGTCAATTTTCATCAAGTATGTTCAAGTCAATTTATCAAACAAGATTGGATTGATTCTATATCTGTGGAAAGAAATACGATGTCATCAACTACATCGGATATTCGATCATATTTTAGTTTCTTTTGGCAAGTAATTGAAGGCTTTTGCGTTGTTAGTAAGAGTACATGGATAGATGCCATAGCAAATTTTAATGCATCACGTGTTCTCACTCCGATGGCAGTTGCTGAAGAAGTTCTTCGTAGTCAAGCTCAAGAAGATCTTAGAAATCATATTTCTATAGCTCAAACAAATATGGCTCAGAGTTTACTTGCTCTTCGACGAACAACAGCTGGAAATCAATTTGTATCTGGATTGGGAACCAACTTTTATCTTCATTATTGGTCATCAAGCTTGGAATACTGGAATAATCCGAAAATGTCACCTGTAGTATTCAACAATTGCTCCTGTTTGAATATTAACGGATGTCCACGTCCAATTTTCATCAGTACGAGTGAAGATCAATCAGTAGCCGTTCCAGGAATGATAATCGATTGTTTAATTGTTGATGCAACGCTAGCTTCTACACTAGAATGTTACTATGATCCAACATGTTTTCGTCTTTTACATAATGAATCAACTGCAACAGTAAACTTATTATTAAAAGACTCAAATAAATATTTTCAAGTGAATTCTACTATACAAAATCTCCTCGATTATTTAATGATTGATGAGTTGAATACTGAAATTATGTTCGATAAATTTTATGAACAATGCAACCCTGCTTATTGCATGTACTCATATACACATCATTTTTCTACATTGTTCATTATTACAACAATAATTGGTATTTTTGGCGCATTATCTTTTATTTTGCGTCTTCTGGCGCCATTTCTTGCACATGTAATTATTCATTGGAAAACCAGAGGCGCTTCAAATGAATGTATTACAGAGAATGCCACGAATTCGGCATCTAGACGTAAGTGAAAAGAAAGTTATGAAGATAAATTGAGTCGCACTAGTTTCAGTCTATTTAAATTAGAATTAGTAATAGTTGCTTGGCCCCTTTCAGATACCGCCATTGTATGTTAAGAAGATTCCAACAGCGTGCATATTTAAGTTTTGATCTTCGTTAAGTCACTGACAATAATATGATTGTACCTGTAATAGAACACAGCAATATTACTATATCCTTATAATAGCATACGGTGCGTAAACAGCTAACCGAGCTAATGCTACTGTTTTATATAGTAACCCACAGTGATTGACCTAGATGTTATGGAAATTGCTAAATACGATCTTTATATGGGCGCATCTCAATATATTCAGAATGTCACTTTCCGTAGACTGTACCTTCATTTCATCTCCATTATGGAAGATATTCTCTCTTTCATAATATTCCATTCTCGAAATTTCCAAAAGAACGCGAAGAAGGATACGAGAACAGTCGATTGCACACGTATTCAAATATAGTAAAGTCAAAGACAATTACGTTGCTTAAAATTATTTCATATATCTGTGATTCACATCTTAATTTAGTGCGGCGGACTAAATTCAAAGTTTCTCTAATTCTCGTACATAGTATTTAAAAAGCTCTTGCAGAAAACTTCCTTTAATAACTTCTATACAACTTAAGTGATTTCGTATAATTTGCAGTATGGTCTTTAAAGTTTGGTTTTGTAATTGTCTCATAGATATGTGTGTGTGTTTGTAAACACTAAAACAAAAACACTTTTACGAAGTTCATAATTATTTTAATATGAAAGCACAATCGACTGTTCAAACTATTATAACAAGTATACATTGAGTTATGATTGAATATTTTTCAATGATATCGTGCAACATGCAATTTGATCGTGAGTGGAGATATACAGAATATTCTTGAAAACCATTAGCATTCAAGAAAAATTTTCGTTTTCTAACGCATCAATGCTACATCTGAATGAGTTAATCAATATCCGTAAGATTAGATTCCGATGTGAACATGATCCACATGCAATTATTGAAACTGTTCTGAATTCTCATAATTTCGAGAGTGCATTTAACATTGTCATTGACAAAATTGTTTTTATTGCGATGTTAAGAAGCACAAATATTTATAAGAAAATACGCAAAACAAAGTCTTAAAGAGCATACTACGGATTGGATCATTTGAGTTATATGAGAGTTATTCACGAAAACTTTCCGCATAGACTTTGGCACACTCGATATATTTAAAGTCGTAGGCTTTAAATGTTACATTTTCAATTTAAATATCTCTTAGAATTAACAGTGATCAATCGTGTTCGGCATCTATCAAACTTCGCATATCAACAACTTAGCATATTGAATATATTCGAAAGTAAAACAATACGAACACGTACAAATTTAACACGTGAATATTTTTTAACACGACTCTTCATATGCACGTTCATCATTAGCTCGATTGGAATTGGCTTTTACATATTTATATCTGAGCAAAATCAGGTCGTAACAATTATACATCCATCTTTAGAAACTTATGAAAATCTGTTCAATGAATACTCAACTACGATACAATGTCCTTGTTCGCAAGTCTCCGTTCCCTATGGAGCATTCTTAAATGTAACATTTGTCTTACATCAAGTGTGCTCAAGTGATCTAGTTTCACCAAGTTGGTTACATTATTTGGCGTCCTTTAATCCAACTCTTGTACCTGCTTGGACGGAAACACGTTTTTCACGTGATTTTCGTCTTGAAGGTGTTTCGTATTTTCAGCTTTTGGCCACGTTTTGTTCTTTAGCTAAAATCAATATTGAAGATGGCCAACGTATTTTTACCAATACACAATTCATCAACGATCAACTTCTACCTCGATCAATCTTTGTTCAACAAACCGAAGCGCTGGCGAAATCATTTATCAATAAAACATGTAACGATTTTCTACGTATTTTAAATTGGATTGATATCGCTGGTAGTTTAAATCGATTTTTAACAGGAACAAACTTTAATTTTAAAATTACAGTCAGCAATGATACTAAAGTAAATATTGAAGATGTATCTCTTGTTGCAGATGCAGAAATAACTCACACATGGATATTTATGACTACTCTATGCTCATGTATAAAAGATGCTACCCTTTGCTTTGTGAAATCCCTAATTTATTTAAATGGATCAAATTTCGCAGATTTCCTACAAGTTTTTGATGAACTTGATGTTGGTTGTATGCCTTTAATGAGTTTCTTCCACTCAACAGTCACCTGGTGGTACAACAAGACTTACTTTGAGAACATTCAGGCAACGTACGCTAGTATTATTAATACTCAGTTCCCAACGACTATCAAGCCACTCAATTCATCCATACTAACTCAATTCAATCAAACTGCAAGCGAATTAGTGAATGCAATGTTTGTAGAAATGTCCTTTATCAGCGATCAGCGCTATGATCTGTTCTACAGTGAATGTGCACCCATTAGCTGCTCATATACAGAATATGGACGGCGAAATATCGTGGCTGCTGTTCTATTACTTATCTCAGTATGCGGTGGACTTAATCGAGGTCTTCGATTACTTGTACCATTGATTGGAAAGCTTATACTTATTCTTATTAAAAAATGGCGGAATCGAAATATTGTTGATGGTAAGTGCATCATGCAGGCTAGAAGTGTTTCTTTGTCTTTGCTTTACGAAATAAATACAAATACGGTCTTTTTACTTATAGAATAAATAACGAAGAACATTTCTTTCTATAAGATTCAGGCTTTTAATTTGTACAAAGTAGTTCACAAAAGATGATGATACCAGAAATGGAAATGACATATACAGAAGAGCTTTTTTTGAACATATTTTTCAACTACCACGCAACATCATTTTTTAATAATATCGCATAGAAAAATGATGCTCGTGATAACGTAGAATATTATCCTGTTGTAATCAAGGGGGAAACAGCGGATTTGTTTGGATTTGAATCCAGAAAAAATCCGAAAAAATCCAAAGAAATCCAAAGAAATCTAAAATCCTTGCACGTAATTTTGGCCATTAGTGGAGTTTTATGGTCTTAATTTCAAGTTTCTATAAAGTAAACAGCAGTTTTCAAGGTTGCTTATGGTTAGAATTGAGCGTGAGCCCAAAAGCACATGTTATACCGCATTATGCATTTTCCACTGCACATGTGAAATGAGTTCCGCATGGACATTATTTTTTGTTATACCAAAAAATCAATGACTAAACACTTTATTGGTCGCTCAACACTTGGCGATTACTCTTCAAATAGGAAAAGCAAGTTTGCATATTAGAAAATCCTTCGAAGAGTCTTTGTTGTCTATGATTAGAAAACAATATTGCTAGATGATAGTCTTCTTGATATCTCGCTCTACATCTTCGTTTGCCGATTTTAGTAGGCCTGACTGAATTATCAGCCCAAACGAAGAAAAATACTCAGATTTCTCGAGACAGAAATTAAGGATATTTTTTTATGCTCAGAGTCATGTATAAACTCAAGGAAAGAAATTTCGGGAAGCTTGGATAGTACGAAGATTAGTGAAATTTCCGAACATATGTATTTTAGAAATCGCCAATTTGCTTTTTTTGGAATCTGTACTTTACAGAAGATAAATATAGCGAATTCGCGGAGAAATTCAAGACGAAAAAGATTCACCATTAGTAATTCTTTTCATTCATTCAGATCAATGCACATACGTTGACGTATGTGATGTTCTATCAATTGATGTCTTCAATTCATAATCGCGTGAGAATACATTTCGTTCAGCTGAATAAATATCTAGCGTAGGTAGAACCGGTTGGATTTTATCGTAACGAATGTCGACTCGATTAGATTAGACAGACTGGTCGATCAGTATGATTATATCAGATATTTTAAAAGGGTTTAATAAAAGGGAAAAATTAAACTCTGCACTTGTATGGTTCTGTGATTGACGGTTGTCTCACATCATTCCTATGCCGCTCTTCCGTGCCTCAAACATGACTGAGAAATCTGCCTTCATCTTTCAGTGTAGAACGTCAGAAAATAAAATAGTTCATCATACTTCAATAGTTTTAATAATTTTGTAAAGCAAATATTACTTTATCATATATACTCTACTCTAAGTTTTTAGTCAATGATCTGATTGTTCCTCATAGATGGAGATTACCTCAGTTCAAAGGAGCAAGTCTCAAATCTAAAGAGAACTTATGAGTATTTTCAACCCAGAAATCAAGTTCTATACAGGTATCATTCTTGATAACTTGCTCTATAACGATCGTGCTGTAGTTCACAGCTACTCTGTGGAAATCGCACCCTAGTTCTATTGTCAATAGTGTATTGGAGATGAATGCGACATTTTACATCAAAAAGACGAAAGAAAAGCAGATAATTTTCATATTTAACCTAAAATAGCCCACAAAATATCAAAATGTAAACTTTTTAATTTATAAACGTTTAGAAAGTTTTGAAGTGCGAAAACATAGAAAAATGTCAAAAATTCCAACAAATCTTGAAAATCTTAAGAAACTTAAATCAAATGGCATCTTCTCTAATATAAATTCAAGTATGAGGAAGGTGAATAAGCAGTTGTCCAGCGTCAAGAAAGAAAGAAACAAGTTTGCACCTCGCAAGAAAGAGTCACAAGACAACATACGCCCCTCGAAATGCCTGTAAGATGACTATTAACGTTAAATAGACTCGCCCATCTAGTCAATGACCATTTCTTTTCTCTCCTTCTCTTTCTGTCTCTCTCGAACGACGCTAGTGGAAAAGCGGAAACAGGTAATCAGTTCTGACTCAACATCGTTTGTACGACACAATTTTTTTCGTCTTTTTACCGTAATCATCTTCTGACATGTCTACGCTGAAGTCAAAATTCTCGCTTAATTTCTTGCCGAAAGATACTCTGATACTTAAGAACGATCAGTTCTACTCTAGTGTCGAGAAGCTGACGTCTTCTGATGACTTTCGAATACTCAAATGTCAATTTATCAACTCGATCAACACTTTTCTTCGTTGTAAGAGTATATTGATACCTATTCTTCCGCCTACATCGACCTTAACCACTTTTTTGTTTAATCCACACCATCCTTAATTTTTCTGGGCATAGTGATGGCTGAGAAAACTCAAGAGTAGACGATTAATGGCTGGTAAAACTTCTACTAAAAATGTACACATGAGATATAGGAGAGTTTCAGTATTCTGAGACGCTTTTTATATACACATTGAGCAATTTACTAGACAAATACCTTGAAAAATGCCACTCTTGTGAACGGGATAGGGCGACCGATTTTATCAAATGAATGTGTCTCGCGGTGATAGAGCGTTGTTTTAGAAGAGAACATACGACATTTGGATGGTAGATAATGAAAAAAAAAGTTTAAAATCCCAAAAAGAATCCGAAAATCCCGAAAAATCCCAGAAAATCCCAAAATAAATCCGAAAATCCCAAAAAATCTTCTTTGGATTTTGAAATCTGTAAAATCCCAAATCCGCTGTTTCCCCCTTGGTTGTAATACTGCATCCTTGCCTATTTACAAATCATAGAAAAATAAAATCTTTGTTTATTTTGATTTTATAATGACGAAGACTTCATTTATTTTTATCCTTTATTATAAATAAAAATGAAGATCAAGTAACACTCCTATTAACTACTGATTAATATCTGATACCAACAGTAGACGTTGATCAGAGCCCTGTCATGGGTTCCGTCAATTTTTAACACTGACGATTAGAATATACTTCGGGAACCGGAATCCTAGCTGGATTTTGTCAACTCTGTAGCAATTCACATCAAATCCGATTGCTACAAATGTTCTCCTGAGTTTCTGGTCTCATTTGAGCTCATCGTTTTTAAATTAAAGGTCTCTTTATTCAAAGATCGACCATAGAAAAAGATAAATGGAGACAGCAATGATCTAACATGGATGAGTTCTGGAGAAATCGCTATTTATAGGAACTTCAAACAACTAGATCAGAAATCTCTGCATGTCTTCAGATGGTTTCTATTATCAAAAATATTTCACTTTATATTACAAAGTTATAGACATGTCATTTTTTTTAACAAGCATGAAGACATGCCTTTCGGTTAGAGACATATGAAGTTTCTGTGAATACGATCTGTCGTAAAATGCTTACATTTGTTTTAATCTCAAGAATTTCATGATCTCTTCAACATGAATCCATATCAAATTTGAACTGATAGGTCGTTAGGGAGAAGCCATGATCATCGTGACAGAATTTATCTACGATGAAATACTGCAATAAAAGAAAAGAAAAATCTTAGTTCAATTGAAACTTCATATGAAAGGTTTTCACGAAGAATTAGTAATTTTTTCATAGATCATTGCCGATATCCAAAGGCTTCAGATATCCTACCGGTGACAAATAAAGCGTACAAAGTTGATTATTTAAAACTAGGATAATTATTGTGATTGTCAATCATCAGCCTCTTGAGGTTAGACTATCAACTTACGATGTTTTTATTTTTCAGCTGTGCCTGTCAGCGGCATCCGGAGTCACCATTACGCAAAAAACATTGTTCAGTCAATCAAAACATTTAATCTTTTTGAATCCACATTGTCGGATGCCATTACTATTCGTCAGCAACAGTTGTACACTCGTGTTTATCTCTTTCTTCTTATCGGTTCTATCAGTATCATCTTATTTTACTCGTCAATCATCGACCGTGTCATAAAAAAAACACTTTCAAACCCATCGATTGAAGATTATGAGCATTTACTGAAAATTTATTCAAATAATTTGGATTGTCCATGTGCAAAAATATCAATTCCTTATGGTGACTTTGTCCATCAACTAGAAGTAAACTCCTTTCATCAAGTTTGTACTACCCAGATAATGCATTTCAGCTTATTAAAACCTGACGATACTGATACAGGAGTTATTTTTACGAATGGCAGAGATTTCAGGTCATGGAAGAACATATTTCTTGACGGTCTCGATCAACTATGTCAAATTGCAAGGCAGACTGTAGCTAATAGTATTCAAGCATTTATTGTCTCGAATATGCTGACATATCAAGTGATAACTCGAACACAATTCAATAATGAAATTAATTGGACTTTCGATCAGCTGAAAATATCGATTCCGGTCACTTTTGCTCGAACATTAGATTTGATTCGTACAACAATACAAGGAAATGCACTAATGGACACGTTTTCTTCTAATTGGAAATTGATCATAACTGATAGTAATAGTGGCAAAAATGCCTCGTTTTTAAGCGTACCTGTCAAATATGATACTGATGGTCAAAATACAACTTGTTCTTGCTCTACAAGACGATCTTGCTCAGAGCCAGCACAACTCTTTCAGAATTTCACAGCCTATTATACATTTAAAGGCTTGGTTCGAAGTTGTTTTTTGCTTGAAACAATTTTACGCTCTTCACTATCTTGTTTCTACTCTTTAACATGCATTAATGAATTTCGGAACGTAATGGGTCTCGATTTTTTGTTTACCATGGTACAATGGGCAAATGCGAGTGGTCAACCTGCAATGTTCGATGCTGTATCTACACGGTTTTCTGTTAATGATACTATAGAAACATTGGCTTACAATATGTTTATTGAAACATGGCTCAGCAATGCATCATATGAGATGTTTTTCAATGCTTGTGAACCGAAACAGTGTACTTATACATATCATTATCGATTTGATGCTCTAGAAGTCTTAACAACATTTCTAAGTATATTGGGTGGTCTATCTGTTGGATTACGCTTTTTTATACCTCATTTCTTTCAAGTTATTCGAAACATAATCAATCGATTTCATATGAGGCCAGTAAAATGATTCTTTTCTTCAGCTGACTTTAAAACATTGTTACTAAAAAACATTCGAAATATATATTTTTATGTTGTGATTTTTCATATTTATTTTATCATTAGGGTAAAATGATAGTTGGGCGTTTAACATTCGAGGGGCGACACACTGATCTCTTGAAATTTAATCAAGAAGAAAAAACAAGCTTGCACACCTGAGAAGTACGAAGAACTACTAGAAGTGCGCTTGTTTCTCTTGTAAACTAAGGCAAATATACGATTATCGTAAAGTTCTGTGTCTTCTTAGCACTGATATTAAATTTTAGAATTTCTATATAGCAGAGAGACTTGTATTCATTGACATTTTTATTTGGCGGACAAAACAAACTTGAAAATGATTCATGGTTTTATGAAAGAATGTATGCTTTTTATTTTTATAAAATACCGCCACAACACTCAATGGTTCTGACTGAATCAGCAATAATATTCCAAAAAAATGATAAAGAATGAATAAATTGCAGTGGCTTCTCTTTCTTACTAATAAGTTGCTACTGCCTTTCTTTTATGGTGGCTGATTCTGTGGCAAGATTATTCTCAGTATGAGACATCGGAAAAAACATTAATACATTCTTAATTTATATATAATGAAACTTAGTTTTTATAAAACTTTGACCTGTCTTCAGTCGTTCATTTTAACAGATCAAAACAAATTAGAATTACACTCTGAATCTTTCTGTTTTTAGTTAGTTAGTCAAGGGAGTAAATAGTTTCGAACCATTGCTCAATGCAAAAGTTCATACTTTCAGTAAGATATTCTTGTGCGACTATGAAATGTTAAAAGCTCAAAGATCAAGAATCTTAATGTCGCAAAACTCAACTGTCATTATGTTCATCCTATGCTACTTTTATTAATTTAAAAATATAATAAAAAACAAGAAACATTATATTTGGTTATTCGATATTCTACTTTCTTCAATGATTTTGTCCAAAAGAAAAAAGGAAGTCATACAAATCTCTTACTGATTCTCGATTTTTTTCATTGGATTGTTTCGTCTTCGCTAATCTAATGGCGTTAAAAGGTTCTGAATACCAAATAACTAGAATTCATTAGGATTCTGCGCTTAATGCAGACTTCAATTTTAAGTAAGCGAGAAAAAAAAACAGGAAGGAAAAAGCAAAATCGCAACCTTTACCACGTAGACTTTACAGTCTGCTGATGAGATGTTCGAATAATGCACTTGTTTTTACAATGAAATGTTCGAACACCAATCGTATTTTGAAGAAATTATAATGCAATAAATGTAAGTTTCAGCCAGAATTTTTTGAAGTCATCATGTTTCGATACGAAGAAGGGTCAATCATTGTACTCTCTAATCGAAACAAACATTGAATGAACCCGAGTTCGGTTTGACTAGAGTGAATATTCAAACAATCAATTGACAATCGGTGTCCCAAAATTTAGTTAGCCATCAAAATTCCAAGAGGCATGATAGAAAAAGTGGTTTTGGAGAATTTTTCGGTAAAAAGTAAAATAAAATCTATCTCGATGCATTGTGCTATGTGATATAGTGTAAGAAACGAGATGCTCGTTACAATCCATTCTGAAGGTATAGTTTGGATCTAGTATTCAATGCATTTTGTATTTTTTTTCTGTGAGACCTAAAGATGGCATTTTTCTTTTCAATTTAATTGCAACTAATTTCACCAATTCATACAACCGAAGTTAGTCATATTTCAAGATCCAGTTGTCTTCAGTTGATCTGATCTCAGCTGGGTAGCTTGAAAGTAGTCCTCTTTTGATCACTAATTGATTTTCGCATGTTCGTCAGTCAGTCGTTGCTAGTCGAGAAATAATCTAGAGTAAAGATATAAGGGCATACTATATGGAGTTGTCTACATGCATCTTTATATTCAAAACAGAGCAGTCAATCAATATGAGTAGATAGAGCATAAAACATTCATAATTTGATAAATTTTTTTGTGAGAAGCAATAAATAAGACAGATTGGTTTCCTTATGGGCTATAAACTTGGAAGACAACTTTATAATAATAGAAGTTTTCACAGGATGCATCTCGTAAGAGCGGGATGACACATGAAAAAGCGCATGTGGATGATACATTTCAATCCAAAACAAGCTGCTCTAGGAAGATTTGTATTATGACAAGAACAGCAAGGTACCTTCGAAAATGTAAGTTGCTTTGTCAATCCTGGTGAAATGTCAATCGATGTAGAGTATATACGCCAAGTGTCATTTATTACTCAGGAGAAAACGCTATCTTTAGAACGGTAGCTAATGTCTGAAGATGGTTGTACTTATTTGGAAAATGAATTACATTCACATCGCTAGGGTATAGATATTAACATACGAAATCAAGAAGTGGAACCAGTTGATAGTTCAATCTGCTTTGAAAAGTAATTACTATCACCAAGAATCAGCACAGGATACAAAGATACCAGAACTTCTTGTGAAAGTTGCTGAAGTCTATAATATGCTATGGCATGCAATATAATTAACATAGGAAATCTGTTGCAGCTCTAGCAAGGCTCCGAATCTTTAGAGCTTGTATATGTCCAACGCTACTTTGTGAAAGGATGTGGATGTGGGAGTGTAGATGTGTGGGGCGTGAGTGTTATTCTTCTCTAAATCTATACCCACACCATTCTTTTATTCGAATGCCATGTTGACTTGACAATTACTATTCAGAACTAGTATTATGTTAGATAGTGCCATGCGAGGCAGACTAGTTCTCCTAAAATTCTATTCAAGTAATTTGTTCAGTTCATACTGCATTTATAAATCAATTATGTATACAAAGGGTGTGGGTGCGTGTGGGTGTGTGTGGGTGTTGGTGCGTGTGGGTGTGTGTGGGTGTGGGTGTGTCGGTGTGGGTGCGTGTGGGTGTGGGTGTGTCGGTGTGAGTGTGGGTGTGGTGTGGGTGTGGGTTTGGGTGTGTGTGTGTGTGGGTGTGGGTGTGCCGGTGTGGGTGCGTGTGGGTGTGTCGGTGTGAGTGTGGGTGTGGTGTGGGTGTGGGTTTGGGTGTGTGTGGGTGTGGGTGTGGGTGTGGGTGTGTCGGTGTGAGTGTGGGTGTGGTGTGGGTGTGGGTTTGGGTGTGTGTGGGTGTGGGTGTGGGTGCGTGTGGGTGTGAGATGGTTCTGTCGTCTTCATCCACACGCCCACACCCACACCCACATATCCACACCCACACCCACATATCCACACCCACACCCACATATCCACACCCACACCCACATATCCACACCCACACCCACATATCCACACCCACACCCACATATCCACACTCACACCTACACCCTTTCTGACCAAATACTATTTCGTACGGCGTAGTATCGACACCACATGCTAAACTAGTATTCATGGAATATACAACTGGTAATATACATTCGGTCCAACTGGTTGTTTGACGATCTGTCATGTATTTTTCTAATATAGAACATAATGTTGCATTTCTCCTTTCCACCAATCCCTGACTTTGGGGTGTCGAGGTTTTCCATTAATAATTAATAATCCGGGCCATAGAACTTTCAGATTTTTAATGACAGCAGCTGTGAACTCCTTACCATTATCTGACTGAAGAATTTTACATGGACCAAATTGATAAAATAATGTAACCAATTTATCAGCAATGAATTGTGCTTCCTTAGATTTCAATGTAAAAGCTCATGAATATTTAGAATAATGGTCTCTGCAATGTAATATCCATTGGAAATCCTTGTCAGGACGAGTACGAAGATCAATAAGATCCATTTGTAGTCTTGTCATGTACCCGATCGATATGATAGCTGTTGATACTACAGGATTCTTAACAGGTTTTCTAAGTTGGCAAGAAACGCAACATTGCAAAAATAAATCAATAACTGTAGAGGGTAACCAATAATAGTGGTGGCTAAATTCATATCGCATTTTGTCTCTTCCACCATGACCTGTTTTTTCATGGATATCTTTTAAAATAGTAAAATATGATTCAGTGAAAACAATTCTTCTGTCGTTTTTTAATGAAACCAGTATATCATGACCTGCAGTATTATTAATTTTGAAGTGCTTCTTGCACCAATTATAAAATTTATTGTCAATACAAGCCGTTTTTCCACCTTTTGCTAGTTTAACAGCAAATAATATTTTTTGATAGTAGTCTAAAGATAGTATCACTTTTTCTACAAATTTTAATCGTGATTCATAGCAGTTGACTTTTGAATAAAACATTTTTTCTTCATGAGAAGATTGATCATTTGAATCACTTTGGCCTACTTCTCCAGCATTGTTGATTACCGTACAATCATCATCAATTGTTACATTTACTGATACATGAGCAACTGGAAGATCATTTGTTCTTTCATTTGTAACTGAAGTATCACTCATTTTAGCCAGTTAGTAGAAAAATAAAAATAAATATGAAATTATTTTCTAAGATAATTACAGAATTAACAAAGACTTTTCAACAAATCTGATCCATTTTTTATTACGTATGCATTTGGACATACACAATACCTCCATTTTAGACAAATAATGAAAGTTTTTCCATATTCTATAAGGGCTTCAATAAAATTATGATTGGTCTAATGGAATCTAAGATTGGCCTAGTTGAATCTAAGACTGGCCTAGTCGAATCTAAGATTGACCTACAGAATATATGAACTGCACATTGGACTAGTTGAATCTGAGATTCGCCTAACAATTTTAGGCCAATCTTAGATTGGACTGGATATGTTTGATCAATCCGAGAATGGCCTGAAATAATATCAGTCCAATTTGAAATTTTAGTTTGAACTAGGCCATAATTGATACCTCACATTGGCCTAGGCGGATCTTAGATTGGCCTAAATCCGAGATTGGACGCTGACATATACGTTCATAGCTAATAGCTTTTGCACTGGCATGAACGAATATACGCACACAATGAAAGACATAAAATTCTTAACATGCCTTTTTGAGTGTACATAAAGGAGAGAAAAGAAGAAAAAAAGGAATGTGAAGAAGAACAAAGACAACGGAAAGAAGAAAATAGAAAAAAAGAAGCTGAAGGTAGAGTGTGAGTAGTCTAAATATGGTCCGTTATTTGCCCTCACACATGAAAATTCAAGCCATTGGAAAAACAAGGATTGATGCCTTTTTCCCGATTGTCTAACTCATTTCATTTGAAAAGTGATCTAAATGATCGTCTTTTTTTCTCTCTCGAAATGTGTTCCAATAGAATATATCATTGCAAAAAGTAGAATGAGCTAAATCTTACTTTTCAATTGGTTCTAATATTTTTTTACATACTCCTCTAAAGACTTTTCGTTTGTGATTTGGAGAAGTTCTGTCGTTCACACAAAAGGATAGCCATGGACCAATCTTAATCTGTTTTTGAATTTTCTTAGAAATAATTCTGTTTCACTTTGAGACACGAAAGGATAAACAGGAAAATTTCAATAAAATATGGGAAGCTGTAAACAAAGAAATTTTCGTAAAATCTCTTTAGATAATGTTTTCCCAACTTCCATCCATTTTGATTTGCTAAACGTACTTTGAATGTTTTTAAGTGTTGCATCTATTTTTAGTTTCAAGGACATTTTATTTGTCCAAGGAAACCCTACATATTTGAACTCTCTAACTACGTAAAGTCTTTGACCTTGCATATAAATGACAACGAAGAGATCTTGCACTTGTAAATGAAATCCCTATACTACTGGTGTGGATAGATTAATCTATTGTCTTCATTTCTTCGAATAGTTTGCTATTTTACTACGTGTTCTCGTTCCTTCTTTTTTCAAGAACTTGATTATCTGCTTGATATCACAACAGATTGGGGAAGACATAAGTAGATCAAGGTCATCATCAAATATTTGGCTAGAATGAGCACCTTTACATGTAACAAGATTACAATGATAACCTATGAATAGGTATGAGCTCAAATTACTACCTTAAGATAACCCAAGATGGGCAACAAGTATCGTCGACTTATTCTTACCAAATATGACATACACAATGCGATCATTTAACCATGAGATGAGTTATTTCAATAGTCCTGAGGATATACCAAATGTGTTAAGCTTAACAAGAAGACCTTTATGCCATACTTCATCGTATGCTTTATGATAGTAAGTGTACGCTGCTCAAGTCGAAATATTTTCTTTCGTATTATTTTTTACTTATTGTTATATAGATAGAACTCTAGTTGGGGAGTAAACAACCTGAATGAAATCCTAATTTTTCAACTGAGACTAAGTGATCTGTTTCTTAGCAGTGTCTCACTGTCTCTAGTATAATTTTCTCAAATCGTTTTGAGTATATTAGGAAAAGCGATATTAGTCTTGTTTGATTACAACAAGGCACTCCAGATTTTAGCTTACTCAATGTACTTATCTTAGCTAGTTTCGAAACATTTGAGTATCTATACGCATTTAAACATGTGTTAAAGCACTGAACTAAGTAACTTATATACCCTGATAGGACTCGTTTGAGCGCAAAACTAAAAACTCAATCGAAGCCTGATAATTTTTTGGTTTTCGATTTGGATTCCGTCAGTATTAGTGATATTGACACTTTGTCCTTTGAATTGTTCAGAGTAGTATCTGCATAGTTCTTCGTTGATTTCATTTTCTTTTGACAATCTTCTTTTTTAGCAGTGCCTAGTTTCGTAAAGGATAGTGATCGATGTTTATATACCCTAGAAATATATAAGCAAAAACCTCTATCTGTAGTGTCATGAGTTTCTTGAACGTTGAACAGTAACTCTTGCCATTTACTTGATTTGTACTTTGAAATATTAATTTTGACTTCTCGCGTTAATGCATGGAGCAACATTTGCATCTCTTCATTTGTATTGCATGTTTTTTTTCTCTGGATAATGCTTATTTCTCATTCCTTTCACTTCTTGAAGCTTCCAAATAAGATAAGACATGAGAAGGACTTCGAAAGCTTTCCAATTTACACGTAAGAACATTCTATTCTCATCGATTCAATATTCGCACATGCCATCATCAAGGACCAGTGATCATTCGAACCTAACTTTAGAAACTGTCTTCTCATTTCTCATATATTTGCAAATGCTGAATCAATATTCCTAGGTGAGTGTTTGGATGACTGTGACATCAATGAAATGTATCAAAGATTATTTCTTTCTATCTCTTCTCGAAAATACATACCACTTTTACCTGAAGATACATTGTCCCGTTCTTTTATAGTTCCATTATAATTGTCAGTAATGATTGCATTTTCAATAGTATATCATTTAAAATTTATCATATTGTGGTCTGATCATGCGTCCAGTAAGTAGCAATGATTCTAATTACTTCAGACAGACCAATAACATCTGCAATGAATACGTTTTCAACATTATAGTCTACTTATGATGCTTTTAGGCGTTTCTCTACTGCTACTCTGACACCTTCACTTCTATTAGTTTAATGTTGATAAATAGTATTGAAATGAGATATCCTAGACGTATTCCATCACTCTCCAACTTCGGTAAACACACAAATAACAGATTCTAATTTAAAAATCGTGTCGATGACTTCTAAAGTCTTCGATCCCAAACTTTGTACATAATAGCAGAGAATATTCAAAGGGGGTTGTATGTTTTCTAGGATATTTGTTGTAAACCACTCTGAAAGAACTTCATCTACTATTGTTCTTTTCAAAATAAAAGACACTTAGCCAGTTTTTGAATAACTTCCATCGTGTATGAGTTATTGATCTGCGATCTTCATCATTCGAAAACGCACTATTGGGGCCATCAATCCATATAACATTCATTAGGATGAAAGATGTTTTTACATAGTAACTTTCTGATTGAAATTTGTTTCGTTGTGTATTTCATGTATTTTGACAATAATCTCGGCTTAAATTACGCCTAAATGTAACCCAAATCAGCCCTTTTCCTTAACCCTTTGGGGACGGTGGTACAAGGGTTGTACCACCTAGTGTTATGTTGTGAAAAAACGTATGATGAACAGGTTTTTCGAAGGTTCTTTTACAGAGAGTTTAGAGGGTGCTCCAATTGTCATCTTAGAGATGCCTTTCCTTTATCTC